TTGGGCAGCAAAATGGCAAATGGAAATTTAATGTGGATAAGTGTAAAGTATTGCACATTGGGGAAAAATAACCCCAACTATATGTACAGTATGATGGGGGCTAATTTGGCTACGACAAATCAAGAAAGGGATCTTGGTGTTATTGTGGACAGTTCTCTGAAAACTTCTACGCAGTGTGCAGCGGCGGTCAAAAAGGCAAATAGGTTGCTAGGAATTATTAGGAAAGGGATAGAAAATAAGACCCAGAATATCTTACTGCCCCTGTATAAAACTATGGTATGCCCACATCTTGAATATTGTGTACAGATGTGGTCTCCTCACCTCAAAAAAGATATTTTGGCCTTGGAAAGGGTTCAGAAAAGGGTGACTAAAATGATTAAAGGTTTGGAGCAGGTCCCATATGAGGAGAGGTTAAAGCGACTGGGACTTTTCAGTTTAGAAAAGAGGAGACTGAGGGGGGATATGATAGAGGTATAAAATCATGAGTGGTGTGGAGAGGGCGGATAAAGAAAAGTTATTAGTTCCCTAAATAGAAGAACTAGAGGACACCAAATGAAATTAATGGGTAGCAGGTTTAAAACTAATAAAAGGAAGTTCTTCTTCACACAGCGTGTTGTCAACCTGTGGAACTCCTTGCCAGAGGAGGCTGTGAAGGCTAGAACTATAACAGAGTTTAAAGAGAAGCTAGATAATTTCATGGAGGTTAGGTCCATAAAAGGCTATTAGCCAGGGGATAAAATGGTGTCCTTGGCCTCTGTTTTCAGAGGCTGGAGAGAGATGGCAGGAGACAAATCGCTTGATCATTGTCTTCGGTCCACCCTCTCTGGGGCACCTGGTGCAGGCCACTGTCGGTAGACAGGATACTGGGCTAGAAGGACCTTTGGTCTGACCCAGTACGGCCGTTATGTTCTAAGGGCCAAGCTACATGGCCTGCTTGGACTTTCTGCTACTATAGGGCCCTGGGCTGGAGCAAGTGAGAGGGACCAAGTTCCCCCCAGCCCTCCCCTCTGGCTGGTAGGCCCAGCAGGGATTAGAGAAAGGAATCTACTGGACTAGCCAATGATTAAAGATGCTCTCAAAGCAGGGTACCTGTGCCTTTGTGGCAGTCACTAGGGATATTTGAGCCTCTGAGGCCCACAAGAACCTGCCAAGAAGTGCCGGACCCACAGGGCTTAGCCCAGACTTTGCCACAATATAAATATCCCTCAGTCCAGGGTAATATGGCTCACTAGCCCAAGTACATGAGTAGCCCTCAATTTAGGACCGTATGGCCCACCAGCCAGAGTCATTAAATAATAGCCCGCAGTATGTCTTACCAGCCACAGTCAGTAAAGAGCCACTAGTCCAGGGCAGTGTGGCCCACTTGTTAGAGTTATTGCAGTGGGGGGCTTATGCCCTTGTAGGGCTCTGTGAGCAGCAGTATAGTCTGCCAGTTCCTCAGCCGGGAATCTGGCTGAAATGCACTGAGGACACTGGGATGGGAGAGGCTGCTCCCAAACCCTGCCTGGGCCACTTCCTACAGTATGGCTTGAATCAATGTCTCACGTAATAGTTGGATCTTGCGGTCCTCCAGTAGCCGCTTCTCCCTGGAACCACACAGGGGTCGCGTTGTGGCTGTCTTCCAGGCCTTCAATTCTAACCCCTGGGTGACTGGCTGTAGCAGCTCAGGAGATCTGGTGAGAGGTCCTTCTCCTTCGCTGGTCAGCCCAGACTGAGCTGCTCTGTTGCTTCTTATACTGCTCCAGCACTTGGCGCATGCCCAGTCTGGGTAAAGATGGGAGAGTTCCTCTGCCCACAGTCTTACCCCGCACTGAAGGGGGTGGGGGCTATGTTCTCCCCATCACAGATTTCAAACGACCAGTTAGATTTTGGGGCCCAAATTTTCATAAGAATCTCTAAAGTCTCACTCCCTGGGTACGGATTTCTAGATAGCGGCTGTGTCTACCCTGGGCCACTTATTCTGGAAAATCAGCTGCTTTTCTGGAATAAGCTGCAAGCTGTCTACACTGGCCCTTGAATTTCCAGAAAAGCAACAATGCTCTACTGTACAAAATCAGCCGCTATTCCGGAAAAACTATTCTGCTCCCGCTCGGGCATAAGTCCTTATTCCGGAACACTGTTCCGGAAAAGGGCCAGTGTAGACAGCCCAGTAGTCTTTTCCGGAAAAAAGCCCCGATCGCGAAAATGGCGGAAAAGCGCATCTACATTGGCCACAGACGCTTTTCCAGAAGAAGGGCTTTTCCGGAAAATCTGCCTGCCAATGTAGACGCTCCTTTTCCGGAAAAACTGAAAACGGAATAGTATTCCGTTTTAAGCAGTTCCGGAAATTCATGCCAGTGTAGACACAGCCAGTGAGTTTATAGCAATTGAAATGAATGGATTCTCTGGATACTCAGCACCTTAAACAAATCAGTCCAAGGTGGCTAGTGTTGAGCATCCAAAACTAGTAACTATTTCTGAGCAGATGGTCCTTATTAGGCATTTCTGTACATAACTAGCCAATTAGCCCGTCATAAGACAGGATTTTCAGGACTCTCCTCTGTCTGTCTTCTCTCTCTCCTGCCCCTCTCTCAGGGGACTGCAGAGCCCAAACGGCTGTTTGGGCTCCACACTCCCCTTGCTGCATGGGGAGCGTGGAGCCCAAACAGTTGCTTGCGCCGCTTGTTTCCATACGGTGGCCCGGCTGAGGGGCGCAGGGCCAATTAGCCCGTCATAAGACAGGATTTTCAGGACTCTCCTCTGTCTGTCTTCTCTCTCTCCTGCCCCTCTCTCAGGGGACTGCAGAGCCCAAACGGCTGTTTGGGCTCCACACTCCCCTTGCTGCATGGGGAGCGTGGAGCCCAAACAGTTGCTTGCGCCGCTTGTTTCCATACGGTGGCCCGGCTGAGGGGCGCAGGAGTCAGCCAAGCACCATGGCGGG